GATCAGGGGCTTCTGCAATTCTTAAGACATGTGTCTGTGTAAGATTTGCCGACACAGAATGAGCATTCGTAGAGCTTGATGGACCAGATAAAATCCACCCCAAGTGTGACTCAATTGCAGTGGGCCCAGCCTCCCCCTTCTGGACTCTTCCAGTCATAAACTGCCAATAGAAATCTGACCCAACTAACAGATCAACTTCTAATTCTGATTTATCATGGACAGAATCAGCTAACTCTAAACCTTCTAGATGAGGAAATTCTCGCACTGCTACTTCAATTCTTTGATTTTGCAAAGGGGCACATATAATTGGCACACAATGCGCTGTCAGATAAAGATTCAAATCTCGATTTCCCTGTACACTAACTTGAACTTCTTCACAGGTTTTCACCATTTCTCCTGCCGTACCGAATGTTTTAATAATAAGTCTGTCTGATTTTAATGGAGACAAACCGAGGGCATCTTTTAACCGCTTTGAAATATAAGTTTTCTGAGACCCACTGTCAAATAGAATTCGTGCACTCACGATCTTTTCAGGACTTCTAGGATTACACACAGGAGCTGTGGCAGTTTGCAATAAAAATTCCCTCCTCTGTGTCTGAGAATACAGTTGCTGTAGGATTGGATTTGGGTGAATCTGGGAGACCTGGTGGAGACTGTGAAGAATCATTCTTCTTTGGGAAATTTGATGGATGGGCCCTCCTTGGACATATACTGATATGATGCCTGTATCCACAAACATAACATTTTGTGGTTGACTGGCATTGATAACTGATGTGTCCTGCCCTTAAACAATTGTAACATTTACCTTTGCTCTTGAGAACTTCTCTTCTGGCCTGCACGTCAGTTATCGCATGACATTGAGCACTAGGATGACTACCGCGACAGTACGTACATGTTATGCCACTCCCTTTTCTCTCATACTGACCTTGAGCTAGTAATGTCTCTGCCGTAGTTGGATACCTTCGACCACCTCCACCTTTCCCTTTATCATCATTCTTTGAAGCTGTCACAAATTCGCACATCTCTCTAGCTTCCAGTTCCTCCTTGAAAGCATTCTGTAATGCATCTAAATCCCACTTTTCCTTTCCCAATTTCCTTGTTATTATCAGTTGCAATTCTTGAGGGATTTTATTCATCAAAATAGGAACAAGTAACTTTCCATACTGCTTACTGCTAATTCCGACTGCTTTCAAACCACGTACATGTTGTTCTACTTCATCATATATTCCTCTTAATTTCTTTGTATCTGAATTTGTATTAGCTCCTGACAATTTAAGTAGGGCATCCATGTGGGCCGATATAACTACTTCTTCACAACCGAATCGTTCTTTCAGTGTATCTACTGCAGTTTTATAATTTGCACTTGTAAGCGAAAGGCCAGCTACAGCCGAATAAGCTGGTCCCTCCAGTAAACTAACCAAATAACTCATTTTACTCACATCCGATACATCCTCATTATTATGAATTGTGGTTTCAAATGAATCCCAGAATGCTTGAAATTTGATTGGATCTCCTTTAAAATGTTTTAAATTCAGCTTTGGCAGGCGAACATTTTGCTTGCCATCAGAATATGAACTGTTAACCACAGAACTTGAACTCAAAGAGCCATTTGGATCATGCCCCCCATTATGTTTGACTTTATGTTCCTGCAAACATAAATCTATTTGCGATATTGCTTCATGAATAGAACTTCGAAATTCGCTTGATTCGTTTATTTCCGCTTCGATATCCTTTTCCTCGTCTACAGTTTCGATTATTGAATTATCCAGTTTATCTAAGATAGTAAGTTTCTCCGATAAATCTCGTTTCAAACCCTCCAACTTTATCTCTCCAGGTTTTGTTCCATCATAGTTGTTACAGACTTCTCCAGCTTTGTGTATGAGCTTTCTTGTGTAAGATCGGTGCGCTGTTCTCGATTTTTTCTCTTTTGTTTGTTGACTCATCTTTTCTTTGATAGAATTATTCGACTCGATGGACCATGTAACGAATTTTGACTGAATATCACATCTATATTTGAATACAAACTGTTCTTTTATAGAAATTTACAAAACCAGAGTTTTCTTAGAGTCACGCCATGTTCAATTACCCACGCATGCGCGAACTAATGTCAACTACGCGTGCGCCAACTAAATGTCCTATAAATTAACATAAATTAAGTCGGAAGTTCGTACACTACGCGTTGCTACTTGCTGAATAGCAATGTATCGATCAGAAATTTATTCATACAACCAAACCAACGTCTCAATAATTGGAAACTTACTTCAAAGTCGAAAGGTATCGTACAATGAAACTTTACAATGCGAGTATATTTGTAAAATTACGTGCAAGAATTTCTGTTCAGAATTTCCCGTGCAGGATTGTCTGATCCTGCACGGCTGTTGACCAATCAAATTGCGTGTTTCACTGTAGTTATTGTATAAATCTTATTACTATCTGCAAACGCTATCATGTCTTCACTTAGAGACAGTATTTCATGATTTTCGACACTAGCGTTATCCAGTTTTTCATCATGTGGATTATTGTTAATGATTGCATTATATTCAGCTGGGGTATCAATATTCATTACCTGGCACTCACTGTCCATCAAGCATCCATTGGAAGCACTTCCACTATACATTGATATATCTTTGTCACTTTGTTGTATATTTGCTTCAACGTCATCATGTGTTGTCACAGCTTCATTCGCTTGCTGTTCATGTGCATTTAGCTCATTTAGCTGTGATGAGACTGTGGAGTCATCAGTAGAAACTGTACTTTCCTCCTCTGGTATTTCGGTGTTAAATTGTACTTTATCGAGTTCACTTACATTATCAGCATGCGATAGTTCGACTTCGACTGATCTAGATGTGGCTGTACTATTTTGGCTTTCAGGTTTGTTCACGACAATGAATTTGTGCATTGAGCCAGATATTTTTGCTATTTCTTCACCTTTACGTTTTTTAGCTACTCTTTTAGCTGCACCAGAGGTGCTTGAAAATCCTTGTGCAGACATCTAAGACTAAGAATTTAAAGCATCAAACATGTATATGATCAAAACATACATATATGATCGAAATGCGTTGAACGCGTTGAACGCCGAAACATGCATGTCTGCAGATTGTACTATTACGCTCCTTCACTTCGGTGCACTCTGCGAAGGTGTTAATTGGTGACTATTAGCGATAATGCAAAGCTCACTTACCGAGAATCGAGAAGATCCAATTAACACTCTTGGAGAAAGTACTAGAGATGCTGTCTCAAATTGTACAAGGTTAATTAATAACATGGCTCACTGTATTCTGCCACACACTTTGAAAAAACATATTTTTATCAAAGAGAACTTCATAATATAAACCCCGCTTTATAGTACGGAGCAGTGGCGGAAATTCACTTTTTCCGGTGGGGGGCAAAGCCTCCTAAATTTCCGACAAAAACCTTCA